GAACACAGCACAACAGGACAAAAGATCTTAACAAGCGCAGCGTTGGAGTAGGAGAAGTTGAGTCAGAGAGAGAGCCCCGAGGAACTGCACGGCTTAAAAATGCTCCCGTCTCCTCAGGTGGACCAATCAGCCTGACGAGGGAAGCTAGTCAGCTAACGGGCACCACCTGCTCGCTCACTCACTCACTCACTCACACACACACACACACACACACACACACTCACACACTCACAGATACAGAAGGAGGGAAAAATATACACACAAATGACCTAACGACCCAGAGTCGTAACATATTCAAGGTGCACATATGATATGAGAACATGCTAAGGTTAATTATTCAGTTTGTAAAAATACATTTAAAAAAAAAAGAATTAAATCATCTTCTCTATTTATTGTTTGAAGACCAACTTCAAAAAACGCCGCTTCGCAATCATTGCTCCGAGCTCTCTCTTGATTTTGGCATCAAGCGATGCTCCTGGAATCAAGCAGCACCAGATGTGTTACAGGGTCGGCAGATCAAATGAAAGCAAGGCAACTCTTTCACATCTGGCATTTAATCACATTTAATAAATCCAATTTAAATGTAATAGCATAAACACTCAGATGAAATCGGCTCAGTGTTAATTTTGGCAGCTGTTTTTGATTTAGTCTTTAGACGAAATGGTTATTAGTTTTAGTCACATTTGAGTCATTCCTATCCTTCGTAGTTTTAGTCTACTTTTAGTCGATGAAAAATTACATTTTAGTCAAAATGTGTCTCTGTACTCTCTGAACGCTCCGTCCCCGGCAGATCTCTGTGTCCGCTGCAGCGTGTCTGTTAGGCCCCGCCCCCCGCACACAGAGAGACACAGGGAGATCGCTCTTCTGGAGTGAAGACAGCGGAAATAATGATATTGCAAGTTAGAAACGTAAGATGCATTTTGACAGACAAGACGGACACTTTTGATTGTCCGATAGTCCACCATTAACACCTTAGTCCCGTCCCGTCTCGTCAACGAAAACTAAATATACATTTCGTCATAGTTTTCGTTATCAAGAATCTATTTTTAGCTCGTCTCTTAGCCTTGTAAAAAAGGTCGTTGACGAACATTTTTCGTCATAGTTTTCGTTGACGTAATAAACACTGAATCGGCTTTGAAGCACGAAGCTCTGAACGTTGGACTTCCTGAGCTGCCACTTTAAATAAATGTGTCTTTCTTTGCCGCTGCACTTTTTCTGTAGTTTCTCTCAGATGTAGTCTTCTCTCTTCTTCTCTGACAGGAACGGGTTTTTCTCACAATTTCCAACTACGTCTTCACTGCCATCTTCGTCACCGAGATGACCGTCAAGGTAAAACTCTCTTTCTCTCCAGTGCAATGAAGAGCGTTTACTCAGATACTGTTCTCTTGTTATCGTGCTTTGATCCCTGTTTCCTTCACATCACATCTTAGTCTTCTTTCTTTTGAACATTGCTTTTCTTTATCCTTCTCTCGAGTCACACCATCCACAGCAGGACGATCTATAGAGTGATCCATCTTCTTTCTTTCATTCATTATGTCAGACCATTTCTGAACAAATAACTAATTATAATTCCTTATTCCAGTTCGAGAAGTTTACAAAAGCAAATTCAAGCAGTAAAAGAAAAAGCACTTGTTGAGTTCATGAAGGCCTTGGCACTAACTCACCAGCTCTTACTCTGGCATGACCCGCTTGAAGCAGTGTTCATTTTGGCAGCTGTTTTTTATTTAGTCTTTAGACGAAAATGGTTATTAGTTTTAGTCGACGAAAACTCAAAACGTTTTAGTCTACTTTTAGTCAAAATGTTTTCTCTCTTTAAACCAATTCAGTTAGGCAAATACAGGTTTCTGACATTGGAATCAAGGTGACAGCATCAAGTGTTGACATTCGTAAAGCAACATTTCACTCTCTCAACACTTTAATTGTGTAATATCTAGGGATGGGTATCGTTAAGGTTTTCTACGGTACTACTAGTCTTATCGATAGTGCTTATCGATCCGGTACTTTAACGGTATTCTTGTATTTACTTTTTGTTATTTTTTAAAGGGAAAAACTAACAAATTGTTAACCAAATTAATTGCTTTATTTAAATGTGAAATAAATGAAATGTATATAATTATGTTAAAATATTGTACTGAACTTGAGTAAAATGTTGTGGTACTTTACTGGAGTATTTAAATATTTTGCTACTGTGTACTTCTACGCCACTACAGTTCAGAGGTAAATGGTGTACTTCTACTCCACTACATGTATTTAATACCTTTAGTTACTTTACAGATGTGGATGAATGATGTGAAATATAATCAAGTGTTAAATCAGACCTCAGTTCCACCTGGAGTAAATTCACAAGCTACCCTGCAGTATACTGGGTAGCTTGTGCACAATTACTACTTTTACTGTCGCTACTTTAACTATATTTTGATGATCATACTTTTACTTGAGGAACTCTTCCTACACTATGGTATTGTTTTACTTAACTACAAGATCAGAGTATTTCTCCCACCTCTGCACACCTGACGTGATAACGTTTCTCGTAATTGGGGCAACAGAGCTACGAGTTAAGGAAGTCGAAAATTGTGCATTTCTCCGACTGAATATGATGCCTTTTGGCCGGCTGTTTGGACAGACTACTCTACTCGTGTCAACGCAACGCGAAAACACTAAAGGCAAACAAGCTTTGTCCACATCGAGCCTTGTAGAGTGTCTCTATACTTCTGAACGCTCCGTCCCCGGCAGATCTCTGTGTGCCGCTGCAGCGTGTCTGTTAGGCCCCGCCCCCCGCACACAGAGAGACACAGGGAGATCGCTCTTCTGGAGTGAAGAGAGCGGAAATAATGATATTGCAAGTTAGAAACGTAAGATGCATTTTGACAGACAAGACAGACAATTGGGGGGAAATACCCTGCATTTTGAATGTCCGATAGTCCTCCATTAACACCTTAGTCCCGTCTCGTCTCGTCAACGAAAACAAAATATACATTTCGTCAAATTTTTGTTAACAAGAATCTATTTTTAGCTCGTCATCGTCTCGTCTTAGTCATGTAAAAAAGGTTGTTGACGATCATTTTTCGTCATAGTTTTCGTTGACGAAATTAACACTGCTCTAGTCTAGACGTAGTGTGTTCTCTGACCGTAATACGCCGGCCGTAATGTCCCTGTACCCGCATAGCACCATGATAGTACTGCCTGCGGTTTATCACTCTCATATGCCCACTCCCACTAGCCACCTTCTTTACAGGAGCTATGACTGGGGCGGCGAGTGGGGAATTTGTACTTGCATCATTATGTGTAAGTGTAGCATTGTGGAAACAAAGGACACTTAAACTTGGATACAGATCAACTTTTTCTTTATTTTTTAAAAGATTTCAGTTGAATCTNGCACTTTGGCTGTGAGCTGCGGGCGCCAGATAAGCCAACATCCCCCATTTTCATCACTTACAGCGCCCATCGTACAGGGCAAATGAAACGTGTAACCGGGGTGAAAAGGGTGTTACATTTACTTAATTATGAATATTGTTACATCAAGGCCGAAAATTAGGATGAGCACCAACGGTCCAAAATGTGTTTTCCCTCCCAGAACTGCCAGCGCAGCGCCTCCCCAGATCTGGCGCCCTAGGCGAAAAGTTATAACGCCAGTGCGACCTCACAAACTGGTATTGAATGTGCATCAAAGTCTTCCTACCGAGCCAAATATACCAAAAGATGTATTTAAAAAATCACCCCAGTTGATCGGGAAACCAGTTAACGAGGGAACCAGTTAATCCGGAACACCGGCCCTGAGTTCATATGCAACTCGCAAATATCTTTCTCTCTCTCTCTCTCTCTCCTCTCTCCTCTCTTCTCTCTTCTCTCTCTCCTCTCTTCTCTCTCCTCTCTTCTCTCTCCTCTCTTTTCTCTTCTCCCTTCTCTCTCTCCCTCTCTCTCTCTCTCAATGTTGGTACGCTAATGCGCCTTTTTTCAAATGACCCGGTGCTCTTTTTTTGGCGGAGGTGCGCATGCGCACCTGCGCACCAGTTATGTGCAGCCCAATAACCATGGTAATAACCATGGTAATAATACCATGGTAATAACGCGTCACATTTACTTTAGTAATTTGTTTATAAATTGTTACTCGCGTAGTTTTGCTGAATTCTTTGTGCATTTGTGAGAAAGTGTGTGCTTTTACTTCATTTGAATTGGTCTACACTCTTCTCCCTACGTTTATTGAGACTTAGCAACACATAGTTATAATATTCAGCGACAAATAAGATCTCCACACACGATCCGGACTGCGCTGAAACCTCTCAAACTAGGATTCAGTAATTGACATAAGAAATATGTTTTTGTTGTATTACATTCCTGAGCATGTTAATTAATGACAGCACTCACATTTATTATCACCTGTTGAGGACATGTTTTAAAATAATGCAGTTATGTTAAGAATTGCATCTAATGAAGAGATACGTATTTGTATGATTAATGTATTTCTACTTGAATACCCACCACTGCAATTAAGTCTGCATACAGTCATGTGATCCCCTCCCTTTTGTTATGACAGCTATCAATATTCCTGGACCCCCGGGACCACCTGGAACACCTGGACTACCTGGATACTCCTCAGGGGTGAATAAGCAGTTTTATTATCTTACAGAACACCACGAGATACAAACACCAGCGGTAATGTAGCCGTAGCTGAGCTGTAAGAGTGTTTCTGTGGTTGTAGGTGACGGTGTTGAGGACGTATGACACCATGACAGCCACCGCCAGAAGACAGCCTGAGGGCTCTCTGGTCTACATCATAGATCAAACTGATCTCTACCTGAGGGTCCGGGGGGGCATTCGTCAAGTCCAGGTGAAGTATTAACTTACTGTCTTACATCAGCCGGACATATTACATTTATTAATGTAATTATTTAAAAAACAAATTGTATTCCTATATTTATAAAAAAATTTATTCCTATATATTTATTTATTTAAGAATTTTAAAAATGTTTTTATTCCAATATTTATTTATTTAATTTGAACAATTCTTGTGCCTATATTTATTTATTTCTGTATTTATTCATTTATTTATGTTATGTATTTACACCTACGTCATATTGCAACCCCCATGCATACATACTGTAACCCCCTCTATATTTCTGTTGTCTCTTTATTTTGCAGCTTGGGGATTACATTGCTCTGCCCGTTGTAGATGTGAGTGTTTTGGCTTCTCCTTCACATACTGTACAATGACCATTGTCTTAATGTACATAATGCACGTTATGTTCATTCACATAATGCCCATTATTTCCAGGGTAACGAGGTTGCAGCTGTGGAGCCCCCACCTGTTGTCCCCTACTCCCCCCACCACACCGAAAACACCGACCCCTCCGTACACGACTCCCAAAGGCAACCTGAGAGCCCCGTCTACCCGGACCCTCACCACCCTACACACCAGGACCCTCACCACCCTACACACCAGGACCCTCACCACCCTACACACCAGGACCCTCACCACCCAACACACCAGGATCCTCACCACCCGACACACCAGGACCCTCACCACCCTGCACACCAGGACCCTCGCCACCCTCACCAACCTACACACCAGGACCCTCACCAACCTACACACCAGGACCCTCACCACCCTCACCAACCTACACACCAGGACCCTCGCCACCCTACACACCAGGACCCTCACCACCCTACACGCCAGGAACCACAGTACCCGTCCAACCCTGATCCCAGATACCCCTCCCACCCTGACCCCAGATATCCCTCCAACCCTGACCCCCGGTATCAGCCGGACCCTCGGTTCCCACCACCCACAGATCCACGTTTCCCGAGTTACACAGACCGCCTGAACCAACCGGACGGGAGGGTTTCTGTCAACACGGCTCAGGAGCGCCCTGCGTACCCGGACTCCCGCTACGAGGACCCTCGCTACGCCGTCACTCCTCAGCGAAGACCCCCTCCTCGTGTGCCCCACACTCCAGTGCACCATCATACCTCAGGAGCAGGGGTAAGAGAGACCACTTCCACACCATCGCATTTAATCTGAATACTTTATAGATCCTGGGGGGTAAACTGTGACGGTTGCTATTTGTTAAATGTGCAAAGAAAGATTGAATTAAATTAAACAAAGAAAATATTCTCTGTTAAAAAAATGATATAGTAATAAAAAGTAAACATGCACATTGAACAGTATATACAATAATATGTAAACATGTGTATTTACCGTGACCACAGTTGCTCACATCTCCGCTAAAGTTTTTTAATGAAATCAAATATGAATGCTGTACATGTTGGTGTTCCCCAGCTCCACCTCATCGCCCTGAACAGCCCCCACTCCGGCTCCATGCGGGGGATCCGCGGAGCAGACTACCAGTGCTTCACCCAGGCTCAGGCCATCGGGATGAAGGGAACTTTCCGGGCCTTCCTCTCCGCCAAACTGCAGGACCTGCACAGCATCGTGCGCCGGAGCGACAGGGACCACCTGCCCATAGTCAACCTGAAGGTAGCCAGCAGAGGGTTTCTGGATATTTAAGGATATTGTTAATATTCTTCTCAAGGGTCCAATAAGAAGGTCTCATGTCTGCATGTTGATATGAAGCTAGAAACAGAAGAGGGTTATATTAATGGCTTTATCGTCTCATAATCAAAGATGAAATGACTGGAAACGTGCGATTTTTTTTTGGTCCTATTTTGATGCAAAGAGTTGTACATTTGCAGGAGTGAAGCAGCACATGGAAGGAAAAGCAGAACTTTTATGTGAAAGTGCAATACAAATAATCGATCCCTAAAAACTATTTACAATCGTTATAATTGTAATAATCTGTGTAACTATCTGCCCACCAGTTCTATATTCTTCTCCAGATCTTTGCACTGATTTTTTGTGTGTCACCTTCATCAGGACGAGGTTCTGTATGACAGCTGGGACGCCATGTTTAATGAGGGCAGGATGAAGGACAACGTGCCGATGTACTCCTTCGATGGCAAAGACGTCCTCAACGACAGCACATGGTGAGACAAAAGTCATCCCCAAACCACCTTAACGGAATTTAGTTGGTATGCAGTAATCAAAATAGACACAAATGTACTATTATTATTGACGCTGAAGTGTGTGGATGACTACACCAATACTCGCATTTCAATTACTCCATTTCCCACTCTATCACCAACAAATAATATATATCAAGAGTAAATGTGGAATTAAAGCCACTGGAAACCTAGTTTAAAATAATTATTTACACTGCTCTTCAGGTGTTGGAGTTCTAAAATGTCCTCTTTCCCCATGTTTCCCAGGCCGGAGAAGATGCTGTGGCACGGGTCGAACGCCGCGGGGAGGGGTCAGGTGGACAACATCTGTGAGGGCTGGCGGGTGGGCGAGCGGGCGCTGAGCGGCACGGCTGCGGAGCTGCGGAGCGGCAACCTGCTGCAGCAGACCCCCAGCAGCTGCTCCGGCTCCTACGTGGTGCTGTGCATCGAGAACAGCTACATCGGCCAGGCCAAGAGATAAACACACACACACACACACACACACACACACACACACACACACACACACACACACACACACACACACACACACACACACACACACACACACACACACACACACACACACACACACACACACACACACACACACACACACACACACACACACACACACACACACACACACACACACACACACACACACACTGGACACCTCCCGAAGCCATGCTTTTGTCCATACTTTTCAGTATGTTGTAAATATGTTTTCCTCTTATGAATAATTAGTTTGTTTGTAAGCCATTCCCATATGGTGCTATACAGGACCCTCCCACATGTTGAACCTTTGTTTAAACTCAGGATATATACAGTAACACACCCTGCGGCAGCCATATTGGAAGTACACAAGGCAACAGTGTGTTTCCAGCAGGGACGCTCGCTTGTCTGTGAATGGTTCTTTTCCACTTTTAAGCTAGCAATCGCTTAAATGCTGATATAAATGTTGACGCTTGGTGCTTTATGCTTAAGAACACACAGGCTGATTTTATAGAGGCAATTTACTTCTTAGAAAGTAGTCCCAATACTGTTTATAGATAGGCTTATCCAAAGTGTCAGGGTCACAGGTTTGTGCCTCTTGTGTAATACCATTACATAGATGTGTTTATTACCAAAAAATGTACGATTCAACATCAATTTATGGTATTTTAAAGAACTTTCCAAAATCCTCAAAGACTCTTCTAACCATTTAGATGGAAAAACATTCAATTATATGCACAATAAACAAAATTCCTTTCATAATTAAAGATGAAAACCCATTTTCTTGTCCAATATATACGACAAAAAATAATGTATTATATACATTTTAGATTCCTTTATGAATAAACGTATATGTTTCTTATCCAGAAGCAATCTTTAAGGATATTTGGATATTATTTTTAAAAGCTTTGATGCTAAACAACTTTTGTGATTTTTCAAAGCTAGTTTTCAGGAAATGGCACGAATAATTACATTTTTATAATATTTCCTCAACAAGGGGAAATGTTATAATTAATATCTCTTGCCAGATATGTCACACAACAGCACCCCCGTCATTTTTATCCATAAAAGGGAAATAAATGTATCTCAGAAAAGGGATAAACCACTGTGATCATGAGTAGAAAGTACGTCTGTGTGAGTTACATTTCGAAAAAACAGGTAGATTTCATGTGTCCCTTTCTTCTTCATATTTACAACCCTAATACCTGAAGAGCAGTGTTAATAATGATTTAAAACAAGGTCTCCTGTGGCTTTAATTCCACATTAACTTTCTATATACAGTCTATGTCGGAGCTAGAGTGGAAAATTGAAATACTCAGGTGGGCATCGGTGCAGTTATCCACACATTTCAGCGTCCAACATAAACCTGAGTTATTGTTTATTAAAAATGGTTTAACTTCCTTTCTTTTACACTGATGTAACCTGTAACCCATAGCACTTCAGTAATAGTCTTTTTTATGTTGTGACTGTCTTACATGGGAAGATGTTTCCGTATTTTTTGCAGTAACAAAGGGATATTTATTTTTTATAAACCGTGCATTTTCTAGTATAGTGTGTGAATAATAACATTTCCAAATATACCCAGAAGATGTGCAGCCTTACACACACATTTCCTGATACAAAGTTTGTGCAGGAAATATGCAAACAAATGTACCTACAGATATCTGGACAGGATTCAGCCATAACTGTTTGTCTATGCACTGTTGCTTTTTATTTCTCTATTTGTTTTTATTTGTTCACAAACAGTAAATGCACTGCAGCTAGCTGACAGCACTCTGCGGTTAAACTTCCAACACAGCCTTTCATTAGTTTCCACGTGCCTTAACAACTGCAGTAAGATCATTATTATCTGTTTTTTACTTTGTGTTGATGAGCATCCTTTTAAAATGCTGCATCTGCTTGAATAAACCTGTGTGGAAAGTGTGAGTGTTGTCTCCTTCTCTGCGAGGAAACAGAATTTGATGCCTCCTGTCTCTCTAACTCAGATTTTCTGCGGTGCCGTCTGTCATATTCCTGTGTGTTCGTCGTCTTCCTGTCATTGGCCAGCTGCCTGCACAGCTGCGTCTCGTTTGTTCGTTAGTGAAGAGCTACCTGTGTCCTCATGTGACCGGCAGCCTGCCTGACTCCAGAAACCATTCCATGGATTGATGTCGGCTCAATAGTGGGGGGGGGTTAGTGATTTGCTGAAGCAGTTTTATACAGCAATATAACTACAACTTCAGGAAAACTACAATTTGTTTCAATTATTTTGAATGTAGATTGTCAGTAATGGAGGAAATTGTATGAACACTAGGGATGGGAACGATTAATCGAATACTCAAAATGATTCAGGTATTCGAATATTTTATTTTATTTTATTTATGCTATCTTTGATATTTATTTTGATCGGAGGGGTGACCAAGTTGATTACATATTATCAAATGGATTAATTAAATGTATACGACAGTGCCATTTTAAATATCTTGAGATAAATATCAAAGAAAACTTGGTTTGGTTTCTATATTTATTTGAAAATGCATTTATTAATAAAACTTTTTTTATAGGATATGTAAAATCGGTTAACCGTTTTTTTGGGGGTCGAATATTCAAATATAAATTTGCTTTCCAATTCCCATCCCCAATGGACATGTCATAAAATACTGAAATTGTAAAGGGATTTAAATAGGATACCACGTGATATCTAAGATCATTAAATAGAAGATCTGCAGCAATAGTATAAAAATATATAAAAGCTTTTATTTATATAATGTACATAGGTTAATACTCCCAAATAGCATGCGAACCGAAAAAGTATGTACAAAATTCAAATATATGTACAATCTGTAAAACAATACATGAACTTGTGTACAAGAGGTAAGAGTGACACGTTTAAAAGTGACAGTATTCACAGTAATTGGCACTTTCACTGATATAATAAATGCTGACTTCCAAGAGTTCCTATGTTGGATGTCCAGTCTGGTTGCTATGGCAACAGCCAACATTTTTCTGCTGTTGCTCTCGGCACAGTACAGACGGCCCGAGGAGCAGCGAGCACTTTCTTGTAGTTCAGGCGGATCACCAGCGAGCAGAAGTGACTGACGTCCACGAAGTCGCAGCAGAGGACGTTGAGCCCCCCCGCCCCGCCCCCCGGCTGCTGCTCGCTCGCCCAGCGGAGCAGCAGAGAGAGAGCCCTCAGGGTCAGGGTCCTCATGTCCTGCAGGGGGTGCAGCAGGATGTACGCAGCGTCTTCTGTCAGGTTCAGCCCACTGACGTAGAAACCATCTGTGAGAAAAGCAGACAGGTGAATATCAAAAAGTTAAGTACATGAGTTTTTCAATTTTATTCCACTTGTTGTTATTTTGAATATATTGCTTTTTACTCGTATGTGACATGAATGTGAGAGACATCTATTCTTTTACTTTGTTTGGTTTTGTTGACTTTGTGGACTGATGAGAATATGATGTTTAAATGTCTTGCCTTTGTGTGGACCCCAGGAAAAAATACACTTAATATTAATAGGGATCATAAATACAGTCAAGTAATACAACTATAGTTGACTAATTGATAAGAAGACCAAAAATAAATGCCAAATCATTTAAAATAGAAAATCTTTGGGTTTGAACTGACGAAACAAGACACTTAAAGACATCACTTTGGACTTTGAAATCCTGGGATGGACATTTTCTATATTGTGATGTTTTATAGAGAAATTCATTGAGAAAATAATCTGCACATTTATTAAATATTTAAATAATGGCTACAGATTGAATTACTCAACAGTATGTGAGGTATTAAGGTGGTCTCATCACATAAAAGGAATATTCAAATATGATTAAATCAGTATTCAGCACAGGTGCCACTTTTGCAGGACTTTTACTTCAAACTAAGTTCATTTTTAGAGTAATATATCTTCCTCTTCAGCCTACCTGGTCTTCCTTTGTGTTTCTGCTCCTCCAGATAGGCGATCACTTTCTTAGGGTCCGAACTGTCAGCATACCTGAACAAGAGCCAGAGTCAGTTAAATGTTTTTAATAGTTTTGAGCTAATTCCATAAATCAGCAAAACTACATAAATTCATGTATCTAATAAAGAACAATTAGAGATTTGTATAGAGAGGTGAAGTCCCTCCCTTTCCGGGGGGGCTCCATGGGACCTTATTTCGGAAAAATTATGTATTGAAGTCAATGGAAAGAGACAGATTATCTTTCGATCCCGTTTGAATTGTGCCACGAATTACACATATGATGTTTGTCAATCATAAAAATGTGTCGTAAAACTGTGAAGTAACACTTTTTAACACAAGGGGAGTTAGTCGGTTCCGTAAGAGCCAGTATGCGGGACCGGGACTCTGGGATTTGTAGTCTTTCTAGTTGCGTATTTTTCAGTCTTATTTTAACAGTTTTAAGACAAACTGTGACTTTTTTGACATGGAAATTATTTTTGAAGATTTACAAACATCATATGTGTAATTCGTGGCACAATTCAAACAGGATCGAAAGATACGTTTTCTCTCCCCATTGACTTCAATACATAATTTTTCTGAAATAAGGTCCCATGGGTCTGAAGTAGATGGGCGGGACTTCGCCTCTCTTTACCAGTAAGGTATCCCAGTCCACAGCTCAGGGTGCTGCAGCACCATCTGCTGGTCATCATAGGAAACTACAACCTGCTGACCTCTACACCAACAGGAACGCAAGGTGGGACTGTCCTGCAAATAAACATATATTATTCAAAAACCATATATATATATTTTTTTGTATGTATTATTAAGTCTGTGACATTTTCGAGTGGTTAGAAATCTAAGTATACCCAATGTACATTTGTATTAGTCAGCAAAAACACATTAGTAAGGCTAAAAGAAGAATATATTTGATATTTATAAAAGGATTTGATGATCTTATTTAGAAAAATGACAACTGTGTTACCTCTGAAGAGCATAGTTTCTTTCCAAAAAGGGAGATGATGTAATCTGCAAGCTGGCAGTGATCTTCATCGGTCAGTGACTCGAAATGAGAGCAGGCAATGATGATGATCTCTTTCGGATGAGTGTCTAACCAGGTAGCCAGTTCCCCCAGGGCCTCCTGCACACACACATTTTGTATTCTCTTTTTTCTCATTTTCCTCGATGATGTTTTTAATGTAAACCCCATTCAAAGCTGAGACTGAGTGTGTGTACCTTCACAGTGATCAGTGTGTAAATGCCGTGGGCGAAAAACAGTTTCCCGCCCCCTGATGGCTTCCTGGCGATCCGCAGGTCAAAGAAACGAATTCCCAGATCACACTGATCACTCAGGACCGACTGCTACACACACGGGGAAGAAGACAAAAGGGAATCAATGTCAAATGTATGATAATCCAATGCATTTCACAGCTTTTCTTTGTAGAAAATACAATTTATGAGGCACTTTTGAAATATAACAAGTCATATCTGAACACACCTTTATTCACACTTCATTGTGTAAACTTATGTATCATCATAAATATTTCAGAATTCAAAAGAAAGTTGTTTTACTGGGGAAAATGTGCATGTGGTTCTCAATTAGAGAGATCGCCTAAATCCAATCACGAGTATTTCCTGATTCAAAATAATTGCTCAAATTTAATTAAAGAGTGTTAGCTCCAATTAAATCAAACTCTCAAGTAAATAAAATCTTCCCTTTGCACTATTAGGTATCTGGTCCATCTGAATAAACAGAGCATATGTTTCCAAGTAAACATTACCTACCAGCATTAAGCCATAATAATCTAATCAATTATAATTACAGAGAGCAGAGGACATTTTCCGTGAAAATAGTTCTCAGACTTCTGCAAAAAAAATCTAATTAATTCAAATTGAATTAAATAGAGCAGAGTTGTTTTTTTCTTTTTACATAATGTGTTATTCAGAAAAATAGTTTCAGGTAAACATGTAGAAATCATATCTTAGCAATAAAATCCTGACTAGGGTGTTTGTGCTGCAGTACTTTGTTAATTGTGTACCTCTACTTCAGTAATCTTTGTAAAGAGGCCTTTCAGTTTGCTGCCAGTGACTTTGAGCACATACAGGGGGGAAAAAACCTGGAAATGTTTGACTTTACAAGTTGTGGAAAGCCACCTGAACGCACCATCAGATTGTCTCCCTTCAAATCCACTGAAGGGCAGGCCTCAATGATTGTACGTGTCACATACAGTACATCTCTACCTGTGTGGTGGCCCAGCGGTAGATGCAGGGTCGAGTCCAGCAGGGACACAGCCTGTCAATCACTCTGAGGAGGCGGGGCTCTGATTTCAGGACAGGAGAGGAGACGTCCAGGCAGAAAGACATGCTGTCATGGCTGCCTGTGGTCAGAGACGGAGGGCAGACACACTCAACAATATGCCCCAAAGCAGAGGGGAAAGTACTCTTTAAAGTGACAGTAGTAATAACAGTGTAGACGTACTCCGTTAAAGTACCTGAGTAAAAGTATTAGAAGATCCTTTCAGTTAGTCAGAATCAGAATCTAGTTTATTGCCTGGTACGTTTGCAGAAATGTGCAACATATATTCAGAGAGATCATGTGTCCCCAGTGACTCCAGCTACAAACCAGATGTTATTAATACACTCATGAGAAATACTTATTTTTTAGTGGATTTAAGTGCTTCTTCTACTTTATATATCAATATTTAAATGACGATTCTGATGTGTTTTGGGCTCAGTATGCAGAATGCCTGGCCTATATTATTGCATTATATTAAGTGATGGATTAATATGTAAAACACCTTATGTTGCAGCTGGTAAAGGTGGAACATAACTGATAGTATACTGCTGGGTAACTATATATAATAAGATATCATAACAAGTTACTGGATTTCTATTTTGTATTAAGGCTCTGAATCTGCAAAGTAATTAGCTAAATCAAAAACTATACAAATAGCATTGTTATAGGTTGTTTTTCATGCAAATAATAAATAAAATAGAAGTACTCAAATCTAAAAAAGAGGTGTGTCCTATCGTCTGGAGTAATTAGGTCATGGTCATATGACATGAAAACTATGAAAATAAATTGGACTTCTCATATGAAAAGAACAGGTACATTTTCATAAAAACATTAAATAGAAATAGAAAAAGGAAGTGTTTCTGTTTTACCGGGTATGGCCAGGTTCCACAGCGGGACATCCAACAGCTCTGCGGGCAGAAGGGACATCCAGTCCGGGTTCCCTCCGAGCTGTAGCCGCTCTTCGTCTTCCATGTTTTTATACCTGAAATATCGTTGACTTCCTCCCTGTTCAACTAAATACTTACTGTTGGCAACATGTTCCTCTTCCTCGTTTTGGAATACAAGACAACAATCACAGTTTGTTTATAAAATTTTCCGGATATATAACGTTTTCAAGCTAACGCCTGTAAAAAAGGAAAACACTTCCTGTTACGTCATCTTTCAAAATAAAAACGCGACGGAATTTACATTTCGAAACAAAAGCCTGACCCACTCTTGAACTATTTGTCGTGTAACAAGTAGTTAAATTCACAGAAAATGTATAATAGCATCATAGTATTTAGTCCTAAACCTCTCTCTAAAAGAAAATGCATTATTGATCTACATTTAATTTGTAATAGCTGTTAAAACATGAGGCTGCCATTTAGCCCCGATAATGAAGATAAATGCAATGAATGAAGGCCTTTTTCATCCCAATCATTAAACATTCTACTGACTCAGTTAGACCCCTTTCTAATATAGCCAAAGTCAGTGCCAAATAAAGACAATTCTATTAAATAATTCAAAGTCTCAAAAATGCTACAACTACTGTCACAAACAGGATGAATGTGAAGTATTTTGTTAAAGGAGGATGAAAGCGTAATTAAGGAGCACTATTGGAGTGACTTTGATGGTTATTGGACTCAGGATTAATTCATTTGGATTGCCGCTGTATGAAGAAATTAAAGGACGGCGCAAGTGGAAACAATTCACAAAGGGATTAAACTGTTTAAAACTGTTTAAAACACATGCTCAAAGTAAACCGGATTTTGCCGATGTGTTTATGTGGATTCAAAAGTTGTAAATAATCTACAAAATGGAGGAGACCGATCTGATCGGAGCAACTGTGACAAATAATCCAACTGAAACCGGCATGGACAATGACTATGTTTTAAAAATGCGCTTATCCAGACAAGCCTGTTTTGGACACTTCACGGGCAGAAGAAACATTTCTATAAAAGAAAGAATTATACATTGCTGTCTTTTTATGCCTTTTAATAGCTACTAACTTGAATTTTTATTCAAATTAATTAATCAATTATTTTGTATATGTTATTGTAATGTAGAGACAAGGCTTTTAGTGACAATCATGTATTGCGTTACAATTATATACTACAAAAAAAAAGTCTAAATATGATATTTGGCCTCAAATCATCTGAGGCCTGGCGCCCCCCCCTGCGATCTTTGGTGCCCCCCCAGGTTGGGAACCTCTGCCGTACACAATGCTGTATTTCAACTCAGCAAAGTGTTTTTGTTGAGGAGAATTTGTCCTTTAAATGAAGTCAGGAAAATTCAATTAATGGAGAGTTGTTTACATTATCATTAGGCTTGTACAAAACACGCCATTGTGAGGATTTACCTGACCTGAACTGAAAGTTCTGCTTTCACAGGCCTGAGTTAAAGCCCCTTCTTTTTCTATTATTACAAAGTTTTTTTAAGTTCCTGTACAAACTGTACAGGGGTTTAACCGGTTTAACCTTCTCATTACAGCCGCTCTACTATTACATTTACTGATGTTCAAGGCCTATAATACATTAAATCAAATGTTGTGTTCGCTTAAATAAAACCAGCAGAGAATCTAATTCTACAAAAACTATAAATGAATAAAAGCAGCACGTCAAGGGAGCCACACATGAACAGATTACAGTCGGTACTCTGAGTTGAAGAAATTAGGCTAAGGACTGACAAGTGGCCGCTGTTTAGCTCCGTCATGTTATCCCTTTTAGAATAAACAGTTCTTGTAACACCGGGTTCAAATCCGGCATGTTCTAAGAGGAAATACCTTTACGATTTATAAAACCAATTTAGGCTTTATCTAATTATCTTGTTGGATTTTATAGAGGCGTGCGAAGAGACTTCTTCCATATATAAATATTACAGTGAGTCAAAGTGGGTCCGCGGTGAAATATAATAAAATGAAATGCTATCAAATCAAGATGGATCAAATTTTTATAAAATATTGATCCGATCTCAGGTCATCAATCTGAATAGCTGTGATCTGTCACGTTCAATAACAGAGATGCAGCTCTAGGTCAACATGTATACCTATCTTGTTCACCAGCCTAATTTAGTCATAAACTGAGCAACCACAACTCCAATATTATTTCTCGGCGTGTATATTAAAAGATAAGTCAGTGTTTATCAAGTATCTTTAGTTGGCATGAATCTGTAGATGTTTGGTTTCCTCAGACCCTCGATGTGTCTTGTGATCACAAACACAGCACATTTAAAGTTTCATGACCTTTTTATTGTTGTTTTTTTTTTATAATTGTCCTCACATGAATATATATCTTCAGAATATCTAAAGACTACACAATATCAAATGAACAGATTAAGATATTTTTGATACTTTTAGAGATGTTTACTTGTAATAGAGTATCTTTAGAAAAGGATCTGAGGCATTCATCTTGATTGCATGTTCAAAAGGCTCCACGTTATTCTGTGGGGGTTTTCAGGATTTTCTCCTTAATTTATAGCTTTCTAAAAATACAGTGACCGTCCCACTCTGGTCACACCATGCCTCCAGTTTCCTGCCCCACTGTGTCACATTGTGCTGTAATTTTAAAAGGCAGATGGAGGACAGCGCTCAGCAGACAATTCAGGACTCAGACTGAGAGACGGCCCGTCCTCTGACACTCTGTAGCGCTGACAGGTAACATTTCCTCTTTTCCACCTTCCTATTTTAGACCCTGTTCTTTGCACTTTCCTTTCTGTGTTTCTTCTGCTTCTTATTTTCTAAGTTTGTCTGATTTTATTCCCACTTCATGACTTTTGTGTCTAAAATGATAGCCTCATATGACACTTTTGCACTTTTCCTAACAAATCACAGTATTGCAACATTTCTCATTATTTTCTGGATATAATCCAGATTATTTGACTAATTTGAGCAAAGTGGATGAGGAGCTTGTGCTTTTTATTGAGTTGTAGGTTGTTGGGGGGGAAAAAGTCGCCTAAACAACTGGCAGATGCTCAATAGATTCTTAAATTGACAGCCAGTTGCTCAGTTGAAGTGGTATACATAAAAAATGCAGTTACTGTATAAGGCGTTTCAAGGGATGACAGAGAAAGGGTGTAAATGCTTAAGTGGTGTAAACATGGCGAAAAAAAGAAGGGTACATGTTGATAATAGCAAAGTACACCAAGGGGAATTTAGAGGATTTATAGAAGATGGAGGTTTAGATAAGGATATGAAAGGGTGCAAGAGTTTAGAATGTTTTATAGAGGTCTAATGTGGGATATTAAAGGTCCCATGTCATGCTTTCCTGGTTAAACCCGTCCCCTTGTGTGTTATGTAGCTTTTTCTGCATGTAAACGGTCTGCAGAGTCACAAACCCTCAAAGTACACCCTGTAGCGAGTAAAACTCTAACACAGAAAAGACCTGTCTATGCTGCCCCAGAACGCCTCGTTGGACATTTCTCTTTTCCCATTTTTTACTTCCTGGGTATAGTGACGTATTTCGGGTATAGTGACGTTACGTTATGTCCACGGAGCCGTTACGTTTGGACCAATCCGCCGACTTCCTCACACACACACACTCGGCGGGACGTTGCGAGGCTCGCTGCTGCGAAGGGCGGGACACTGTGAGCTGGCTCACTGGTGTGGGGTCGGCGAGACAGCGAGACACCGCGGAACTCAGCCTGAGCACACACACAAACTCCCAGCCAGGCTGCGGGTGTGTGTGTGTTTCGGGCTGGGTTTCGCTGTGTCTCGCAGACGGCCACTGGGCTCATAGGGAGGGGGGGGCAGGAGCTCCATCAAGCCGTTTAGGACAGAGAGAGAATACACATACTATACAGAGATGCTGACCCAGAAGAGCGTGATGTTCCTCTTCGTAGACCTTCCAGTGGAAATTCCTCCAAAAATTGAGTTTGAAATCTTGCCTAAGATTTAATGAAGACATCTCTTTATTAGATCTGGAACAGCGTAAATATTTGAGAGGAAGCCAAGCAAATTAAGACCTCCTCAGACTTGATTAAGACTTAGTTTGAGTCAAATGGATTTAGAGGTCACGTTACGTCCATTAATAAAGAACACAATATTGACTCTACAGTGACATTCAGGGACATTCCTTGGGCTAATTGCTTGTATGTCATTTAAGTTTCCAAGAACTTCTCAAGGCCTTCACCTGGTCACGTGGTCATGAAGGCATCATGATGACCACATGTCCAATTAGATGGCTGCGATTGCATCCCCGTTATGTCTTTATCTTGCAGGAGAGGAGACTCACAGAGCAGATTTCAGTCAACATGGCCGATAGCTACAACTGCACAGAGTGTAAGAAGACGCTGTACGGGCAGAAGTACATCCTGAAGGTGGAGAACCCGTACTGCGTCGAGTGCTACGAGGCTCTTTTCTCCAGCAGCTGTGAAGTGTGCCAGAAGCTCATTGGCTGCACCAGCAAGGTAATACTCATTATTCAACATATCACTCTTTGATTTTCCCCACCCAAATCCCCAAAGACTTTATGACGTATGAACTTGTACCTGTGTTGGTCTTGTTTCTTGTGGATGGGGAAGTTTTACTGTATTTTTTAATGATTTACTTTTACAGTTGTTTTCATGGACCAGAACATACGAGTCACGAGCATGCACTCCTCATCAATATCTTCCAATTTGTATGTGCAGATAATCTTAAAAGACATCACAACATACATCACATGTCAACGTTGATAGCTTGTTAAACCACTTTATTTCATTGTCGGTTTATTCGTGTATGATGGGAAAGTTTGCCAATATTTCTTTACATTTAAAATAGTTTTTGTGGGAACTTCATGCACAAATAAAGTGTTTTGCTTTCATCACATAACCTCAACAAAAAAAATGAATCACATATTAACCAGCATGCTGTTCAGGTTGTATAATGAATACTCTTTTAGTTTCACGTCTTTTTGACTCAACTTGTACACGTTTTCAGACTACAGTTGTTGAACTTTTCCATGCAAGAATATACAAAAGCCTAAAAGACTTCCTGTCCTCTCATTGGCTGTGCAGGATCTGTCGTACAAGGACCAACACTGGCACGGCGACTGTTTCCTCTGCATCAAGTGCAGCCGCTCTCTGGTGGATCGGCCCTTTGCCAGCAAGGACAAGAACCCCATGTGCATTGAGTGCTTCAGCAACGAGTACTCCTCCAAGTGCCACGAGTGCCTAAAGACCATCATGCCTGGTGAGAGAAGCTTATTGCTTCTATGTCGCTATTTTTTATAATGAAACCAGTTTAGAAATTGAGATTGAAATACTATGAACATGTGTATATTTGTTCTCCCATAAATCCAACCACTTCCAAGATGTGTTGTCAACCATGTTACCGTACAAAGCCTTTTTTCTTTATTAGGTCAGCAGTTTAGGAGCTCACATGACATAAGGACATTGCAATTACCGGTAGCTGTAATTGGTTAAAGCTGACCAGAATTCCAGTGGGATAATGAGAGTCCTTTCTTCTTCATCCCCCCACCCCAATGCTATACAGGCTCCAAAAAGATGGAGCATAAGGGCAACAGTTGGCACGAGAATTGCTTCACCTGCAACCGTTGCCAGCAGCCAATGGGAACCCGGAGCTTCATCCAGAAGGAGGCCAACCACTACTGCCTGCCCTGCTATGAGAAGCAGTATGCCAAGCAGTGCGTGCATTGCAAAAAGGTACAAATACACACTGTGATCCACATCATTGTGTCAAGAGAGGCTGAGTTTGTTTCTGCCTAATGCTCCTGAGGTTAGGGCGAGGTCTAATGAGAATGTCTTCCATCCCCGAGATGATAACAAGATCAATACTGGGCCTCAGAGGCATTAAGGCCAAAGTTAAACAGGGTCTTACCTTACAAGTCCCCTGGGTAGCTTAAGTAAATGCAAGCTCAACGATAGCACTATGATGCCTCTCTCGAGTTGTGTATTACAACTTGATGTACTTTATGGCTGCACAATTACATCAAACTGACACATTCCTCTGCTTGCTATCATTGAATGCAAATAAGACTCGAATGTGAAGGAAACAGATGGCAGAGCAGGAACGAAATTTTGTGCTGAAAGCTGGAACTGGTAGTCATCTGGCATCAGCAACAGTCATGCATGACGCAGCAGTATGGATATAGTCATGCATTGGAGCTCTAAAATGTCCAATTTAAAATATTTGTTCTGATGTGAAAGTGCAAAACAGTCCTTTGAAATGTCATTAGGTAAACATGGTACATGTCATGTACTAATTTCTTACAGCCAATCACCACCGGAGGAGTGAATTACCGTGACCAGCCCTGGCATAAGGAGTGCTTCGTCTGCATCGGCTGCAAGCAGCAGCTGGCCGGACAGAGGTTCACCTCCCGGGACGATTTCGCCTACTGCCTCGACTGCTTCTGCAACCTGTTCGCCAAGAAATGTGCCTACTGCACCACCCCGATCAGCGGTAAAATAAGAAACCTTTGAACTGCTCTAATGTATCATCAGTTACATCAACAGAGAGATTTTCACTTGTTACTAAATGTATCATGGTGCCATTGTTACCGGCCTGTGTAATGTCAGGTTTGTTCACTTTTATCTAAACTTTTGGACCATTATCGTCCAGATTTCTTATCCACGTAGGCATTTAGCCACATCTTTGATTCATTCAGCAATTCAATTACAATTTTGTCCGATTTACACGATAGTTTATCCTCCCTAAACTGCTATCTAATTTCAGTAAACTGACGTGGTTGCTGCTCTTCAGAAATGGATACAGGTTTACATAAAAAGGGTACAATCTTTAGAAATCATCAAAAATGAAACCCTCCAGTGACTTAGCAATTTGTTAGAGTTAAGGAACTGGCAAAAGACACATTCTATAAATATTATATATATATATATATATATGGTCGAAGAGTTATGGCTAAATGAACCACATTTAGTCCTCTAAGATTTGATCATGTAATACTTAGATTTGATGTACTAAGAAGTTGTTTCAACCTTTAAAGATGAATAGAAATATGTGACGTGGTGAAAGAAAAATACAACAAGGTTACCTCATTAGATTCATTAGATGAAGCATTATCATATGAACTTCAAATGAACTAAGTAACCATAGTACACCTTTAACAGAGACGTATCCTTTCCCAGAAGATATTCTTCCCACTGTGTTTCCAATCACCATCAATTCAATAATAATTACGTTAGCAGAGATCATGAGACTGTGAAGTTCATTGTGCTGGTGTCTCATGGCTCCTTGGTGTTGCTTTTATCTCAGGCCTCGGAGGCAGCAAGTACATCTCGTTCGAGCAGCGTCAGTGGCACAACGACTGCTTCAACTGCAAAAGATGCTGCGTGTCTCTGGTGGGTCGAGGCTTCCAGACAAGCAAAGACGAAATCCTCTGCCCCGACTGCGTCAAAGACTTCTGAGCCATTTCCAAGCCGGGAAAATAGTTTTGTCAAATTTGGCACTGCCTCTCCTTGCCTATCATTAATTCTCACACATTAACTCACGGTACTGCTAAGGTGTTTTATGCATGCGCTGATGATTCATGTGAATTAGTTGAAGTCTTCATTACAAAGAATGCTGCTTTAATTTTAAAGCAATGTTCTACAAAGAAATACATGTGTGTATGTTATTTTGGAAAGAAGCATTAATATAAACATTTTTCAAATATATATTACAGCATTTATTAGCTAAGTTGTTTCATTGCACATCTGATGACAATGATATAATATATATTTATATGAGTTAATGTAATAATACTAATACTGTTTCTAACACTGTTTATTCTAGTTAAATACATTCTGTTTACAACTGTAAATTATAATAAAGACCTTTAGAATGTAATTTTTTCATGCTTTTTGTTTGTTAGCAATGCAGCTTCTCATGGAAACAATATTTTTCATAACCCAATAGAAAATGTGCATCGAACCCATTATGTATTTAGCTCAGATCTGTTTTGTTTTGTCATGTTTGGACAATAATACATTTATAAATGTTGGTAATCGATTAATTAATAGACATTGGTTTAACACTTACTAATACACCATACTATCTTAAGTATTAAATGCTAGTAAGTCATAAATAAAGGATTAAATTGACTATGTTTGCAGTTTTTTAATCGTTAATATTATGTCTGTTTATGTATATTGCCTCTAAACACCCAAATATCGTCTCTTCGTGTAAAAACAGCTCTGAAAATGAGAAAGAGCTCTCACTCTTCCCCCTTTTGGGATCTGCACTCCACCCTTTGCCAAACTCCATCGTCTGCAAAATGACGTCAGATTTTGTTGAACATACACGATCTTTGTTTAGCGTAAAGGAAGTCAGCAGCAGGTGCCACCGGAAGTGTGTGAGGTCTTTGCAAGGGAGCTAACGGCATTTGATTGCAAGAAGCCGCTGAATAATAACAACGGAAGAAAACCAACTTATAATGTAAGATATGTGTCTGATTATCTGCAAGTAGTATCGTTATGTGCATACGTAGAAGCTAGCATCGTTGCAGTTCAAAGTGAGGTTGGTGCTGGAAAGCCACTGCGGCAACTAGCTAGGCGGCTAACTAAATTAGCATGGCTTTGTTAGCTACATTGCTAAGTAAAACTATGCAATAGAAAAACATACTTTTAGAAACTCGCTATATATTGTGTGCTTTTATATATAGACAACACATTTTGTGTAGCGTTAACATACATTTTTATGCTAGCTGGCATGTAACGCTATGCACTTTTTTTAATCAAATCTTTAAAAAAATGTTTAATGTACTATTTTTGTATGCCTTGTATGTCGATGGTGTCTGTAATAGTTTTACCTTCACGAATAAGATTAACAATATTATGTACATCATCCTAACTGCTACTATCTGGGTGAAAAGGCGCAGATGGGCCGCTCAGATGCATATGGGGAGCAGAAGGCCAGAGTCCATTAGATAAATCGATCATTTTACACGGCTATGCTAGCAGCTAACGCTACAATCCCTATTGAACACGATGTGCTATTCTGTATTAAAGTTTTGACTTAAGGTTTATTCGGCACACATACTATCTATTACGTAATAAAACAATCTGAGACGTCTCAGCTCCTTTTAATGGCTTTAGGCCCCTCTCTGTCCATTGTGGAGAACGATGGGTGGGGAAAGAAATGTAAGACATATTTTTAAAAGAGGACATTTTAGGTGCTACAAGTGGTGCTTTGAGTTTTTTGTATGTTTTCTCATTTTTAAAAGCTTTTCTTTTAGGATTGCATTTATATCAAATGTTTGCTCATTAGTTGGGTGTGGCCTTGCATCTGTCATGTGTTAGGTCATCAGATCCTCAGATGTCTACTGATAAAATGAGTGCTGCTGTACCCAACCACCGGAGGACCAAGCCTGGAGGTAATTGCATAACGTTTTCTGGTTCAATCTCCAATTTAATTAAAATGTTTAAACCTATTTTTCAACACTTTTGACTTTAGCTGAGTTATATTGCAGATGTTGCTCCCTGATTATGCAGTGCATTTGAGCTGTGGATGTTTGCTTTGATGAATTTGTTGATAATAGGAGCCACAGATGTAATTCTCATGTCATTGCAGGAATTAAGACTGTGGTTGTGGCCGAGGGTGCCACTGGAGCCACTGGGCCGACATCCCAGATCCCAGGTCTGTCCCAGACTGCCGATGAAACCTCCCCTCAGGAGAGGAACAGCGGGCGGAGGGTCGGGATTTTTGCTTCAGACTCGGACTATACCAAACTCGCAAAGGGGGGTGGACACAAAGGTAAATGTTTCTTTCAAATTAAAATGTGTTAACTGCAATTGAAATATCAAATTGTGCTTTTAAAGGTGAGATACCACATCGTATTGCCTAATGGCTGTCAGCATTTAATTTAAACGTGGTTTCTCCCTCTGCAGGACTGCTGAGTCATGAGAATGACAATGATAATCTACCCAAGAAGAGCTACAATCCATCCAACTTCTTCGGGAGCAATGGGTCAAAGAAGTGAGTCACTGTTTAGGCAGGAATAAGCAAACTATAACAACGTGGAGAGGCATCTGCATGTTGAAACAATGGATTTGTGTCATAACAATTAACAATGTGTGTTTAATAATTATTCAACAAATATCAAACTTAGTAAGTAAAGGAAAAATCCTTCAGTAAATTAGAGTATTGATTAACCACTCCAAGTCTGTTACCATCAAACTGGTGAAGGTAACAAACATTCCTAAATGCTCCTTGATCCTCCTAAAAGCCACATAAAGCCAAGCGTACGGGCCACAGCCAACATATCCCATAATGTGCTAAGTGGCCAGCAGTAACATCGTATGTCACCGTGGTTTTGTGCTTACAGCGGGAGCAAAGCAACGTCTCCCGACAGCCAGATGAAGGCGGGCATGCAGCCTCTTGCTGCACCATTTGGCACTGATAACGGTTCCGATTGGGAAAAAGACAATAGATTTTCCCCTGATAAAGAGCAGGTGAATAAACCAAACTAGTCATCCCAGACATTTATACCGTGTCGATGTCTTCATCCTTTTAATTAAAAATTTCACATTTTTACCACCACCTTTCCCTTATTTCATTTTTGCTCCATCGTCACAATTGCTCTTTGGTTTGAATTCATTTGGGTTTCATTTTCTGCCTGTGCGGTAGCTTTGTGGAGAAATGTGTAAAGGCTTCAGGTAAGTAGAGAGTGATGCATTGATTGGTCCAGTAATCATTTATACATGTTCTTATTTTTGTATAACTGAAAACTACTAACCTCCATATTTTTTGGAAGTTGTAAAAACTGTTGATACTGAATGAGGTTTCCTCATCAAGATGTAACACATGAAATGCAGTTTCACAGAGTAGCTGTCAGATTGACTTCTTGGATAGTTTCTCTTTAATTTCAGTGTTTTGAGAGAAATGAGAGAATAAACAATGATTTTGTTGGCTGCTGCTGTTGGGTCTGAGCGGGGGTTTTTCATTCCACTTTCTTTAATCCTTTTCCATTGCATGACAATTTGCATCTAACATTATATTCCCACTCATCATTTGCTTCATCCGAAAATGGCTGCTGCGTTCAGGTTTTTTAAGCAAGCGTGATAAAAAAAACAAGCATTAATCTGGGAAACTATTGAATCCACAGATGTCTCCCGATGGAGTTGCCGATGAGTTGGGTGGTCTGATCGTGACCAGCAAATACAAGAAAACGTGAGTATATAAAAAAAAAAAATCTTAGTGCATATATTTAGACTTCACAATTACCTAGATTCAATTGATTTATCATTAGGGAAGTCACTCATTTTATGGTCGTCTGCAGGAATCACGAGAAGAAAACTCCCCCTGTCAGCATGACCAAACTGCTGAGTCATGGTTACATCGAGAAGAAGACTCCTAATAATGACGACGACGCATCAAGTACGTAATGATTTCCTTCTGGTCTGCAGCCATGTTTTAGCTTTAATGTTGTGAAAAATATATTAATGTTATATTATATTTCCTTCCAGGCGTGACTTCAGAACAGACCAGCACCACCATGACGGAGGACGTGGAAGATCTGGAGTAGTGCACGTTGTGCTCTGAAGGGAGAGGGGGCTCGTCCTAACACTAGTTCATGGTTTCCACAGATCCACGAACACATCACCCCCCCCGCCCCGCCCCTCTCAGATTCACTCATTTATTGTACATCCACTGACTGTTAGGTTTTGTACTCGTGGTTATGCAAAAGGTACGGTCCTCTATTTATTTGCGTTAATTTGTAAAAATTCACACGGATTTTATTGAGTAGATGTTCCGGTGCTCGCGGTATTTTCTTTTTTTTTTATTTCTGTGTTGTCGTTGCTCGATTTGAAAGACGGGTTGTGCACAGGGCAGGAAACTAACTCAACGAACACTGGCTGAGTGAAAACCCCCCAGCTGTTTCACTCGCCAGTTTGAGTTTAAAGTGGAGTTGATCTCCCCAGCCGGATTAAGTCCACCTGCTTTTGGCTGGTGTTAGTTTCCCTCCCTGGTTGTATGAAGATCGAGTTGGTGAATTGAAATTGTTTGTGCTAATGAAATGTGGTTACAGTGACGTGGAATATTATTTGTTTAGACGAAGGGCTCTGTGAAGGGAAGTCAGATGGTTGTGTGTTTCCGGCTGCAGGGGTGGAGCGGATCTCCCCCTCCCCTGCAAAAGTCTACACGATGCAAAGTCTACACTGATGGTCGCAGCAGCCCTGTTTGTTTGGTAGAAAAGTGCCAATGATATCTCCTTACGTTCTGCATTGCAAAAGGTTGCCCTTCTTAACACTCCCCGGACTAATGTGTTCATTTTGACTCCCTAAAATGTAAGAAAAATGCCTTTATTTGATTGTGCAAGCTGCATGTTTATGCTGCTTTTAGTCCAATAATTAGAATACAAGCCCTTTTCAGAAGAAAAACGCCTAGTGATGAAACACTAAATTACCTTAAAAGATGTTTACAAGTCACCAGAAGAGGGTGAATCCATTCTGTTGCTGCAATATGAATTTTCTCGTCTTGTTTACCAGAAAGTGAATCAGTAATAATGCCAAGTGCGTCAGAAGCTAATGAAAGAACTAGATTGGGTCTCCTCTACGTTTTAAAGCCCTTCAGTGTTATGTTATTGCATTCCCGTTCAGCCTAATAAACCCCAAGCTCACGCAACAACAGATTAGGAGTTCTTTGAAATGTAGGGAGAACGGCCACCTTCAGCACAAGTCATTCCCTGTGAAGATGAAGGCAGTGTTAACGTGTGTTCTGAACATGCCAACCAAGCAGTTTTTCCCTGCTCTTGCAGTGTTTTTTTTCAGTAGGAGAACTTAGAGTTAGCCTCACGCCAAACCCACCGTCCCATGTTTGTCCATCTGATGAGTTTATTGGGCTCAGATGAGAGACAAGTTTACTGCGGCAACATTTCTGCATTTGAAACATTGATGCTGCTGGTCGTTTAGATAAAAAAACATGAATTAAGAATGTGCCATTTCCTTTTTTAATCATTCCATTTAACTCGGAAACATGATCTAAATGTATTTAAAGTGTATTTTATTTGTAGCTAACACTGTCTAGATCATGGTCTGGCAAATGTTTATTTTTAACACTTTGATCTCGAATTGGAGATTAAATTGT